TATATTTAAACCACTACCACAATTTTTGTTACCAACATTTTTATTAGAGATATAGAATAAAAAAAAATACAAATTTTATAAAAAGTAACTCTGAACTTTTGTTTAAATAGCATAATAAACAATTATCTGCACATTTAGAACAAAAATATACACAATGTTCAAGACAAAGAAAAATGTCACATTTCACACATTTCTTTTGACACTTTCTGTCCTTTCCACGGGGACACACTCCACTTCTGGATGTTTCTTGTTTGTAGGTCCTTGAAAGTCTTCTCCGCTGTGATTTCTTTTTAGTTTCGCTCTTATGTCTGATGGTATTCTTTGATTATTACCTCTTTTTTCAGTATATGGTTTAATTAGTGCCAAACCAAGTTCTTTTAAAAAAATCTGCGTTTTAGTTTCTCAGTTGGCTTGTTATGTTGATAAAATAACATAAATATTTCTTCCTGCATTATTAAGCAGTGAAAAAAAAACGTTAGAGGCCATTGTTTACATTACGAGACATATATAACGCAGACATTTCATCAACCATATCCACGCCACCTTTTGTGTGATTATAAAAGTCTATAATCTCAGGTTTATTTGATTTGTGGTCAAATTCTGTATCATGATAGTGAAGAAGCTACTAACACTATTTTATTTTTCTTCGAGACAAAGGTCACCAAAGAATAGTATATTACATAACAAGAGTTGTAATAAGCTTATTACATGTGAGTAAAAAAGTTACTAACTAGTAATTTTACAAGCATGTAATAAGCTTACAACTCAAGTTGTGTACTATACTTTTTCTACGATTATTTTCATTTATAAATATAAAAAGTATAACAAGTAACTTTTATTTATTTAACAAAATTCTGGAACAATTTAAATTGAAACATTTATTTATAATAATTAATTATAGAATTTTGGCAATTATTTATAACTATACCCTTATCCGAGTTTGGCGGTTGTTCAATAATACGTGGTGAATGGTGAGATGACGTAAACTGTACGGTGTGTTCTATCTGAACATTGGTATTTTCAGTGTATGTAAAGGTAAGTAAATTACTGTCAATTGAATTTATAATTCTATTGACTGTTGACGTCTTATTATTTATTGACTCATCGATATATCCTTCGGCCGTTGTTGAAGATTTACATCCGCCATGTCGTTTAAGAGCCATTAAATCACCACCGGCATTTTACAAAATAGTGACAGAAGTTCGTCTTAAACAGTGACCTGTGTACATTTTGGTTATACCGTTTTCTTATTAACCATATATTCTAACTTCCTTATATATTGGTGCTGGTTTATTTCTACAAGCAACGAAACATTAAAAGCATATCCAGTTGCACAATTTTTATTAAAAATATACCTCTGGACCAGTTCAAGCAATTGAGGTTTTAACATTGTTTGTTCGTGTACAATATTGCTAGTTTCCAACCATTCTTTTATTTCAGCTTTTTTTTTTAAACAGATGTAGGAGCTTTATTAATTATTGTGCTATGATACGGATCATTATCCATTATAATAATTGATGGTTCCTCTAAATTATTCAACAGCTGATGTTCATATCATTGCAAAAAGTTATAACGATTCATTTCTCCATGGTAGTGAGTATTCTCTGTTTTTGATGTTAAAAATAATTCGGTTTTTGCAAGTAGGCAATTTTTCGAACTTTCTCCTAATACCCAGATCATATCTGTTAACTATTCTACAGAAAAAAATCATTTTTAACAATAAAGATAAGTCACACAGGCAGATTAAAAAGGTAATAATATAAAAACTGTCATTTTCAAAGCCTGCTGTTTACGGTTTAATAATATGAAAACTGTCATTTTTCAAAGCCTACTATTTTACCTTTGTAACTGACACAAATGGCGTTTTACTTATTAATATCTGCGCGTCAAAATCGGCAGTTAGGAATGTTTTATTAAAACATTCTAAACAATCTAAAAAATGTTATATCAATTTTATATTGTTTTGCTTTCTGTTTTGTTTGTGTTATTTATTGAATAAAAATAATCTTGTTGTATTATTATACAAAACATATTATCTTGTAGGAATTTTAGGAATCTTGTATTTCATTAAGGAAATATGATATTTCCATAATATCACATTCATTGCATATTGTTATGGTTTATATTTTTTGTTAATTAGTTTGAGTAAAAATAATTTTGTTATATTATCACTCAATACTCTTTCTACTTACAAACATTGAAAGTATTACCGAAATTTCAAGAAAACTAAAAATATCTCGGAAAGTAATGAGTTTAGGTATAGGGAATGCTAAATAAAAATGAAAGAGTATCATAAATACAATATTATTTCTGTACTCGCTTCGGCGGTACATATACTAAAATTGGAACGATACAGAGAAGATTAGCATGGCCCTGCGCAAGGATGACACGCAAAATCGTGAAGGGTTCCACATTTTTTTGTCTTTATTGATATCAATATAGCTTTCGGCACTGCATGGAAATATAACATCTTAAAAACACTACAAAAATTTGAAATTGAGGGTCACACACTAGCTTTTATACAAAATTTCTTAACTCATAGATACATTGAAGTAAGAGCTAACGGTTATAACTCTAGTCCACGCTCTCTTGAAAATGGAATTCCGCAAGGCTCCATTTTAAGCCCAAAACTGTTTCTGATTGCATTAAATAACATCTTGGACGAAATGAGATTACCGATTAAAGCCAATTTATACGCAGACGACTCGATTATCTACCACAAAAGCAGAAGTGTGGAATGTGCATCTGAAGTAATACAGAAGTTTTTACACACGCTGGAAAAATGGTCACTTAAAACTGGTTTTAACTTTTCTCCTGAAAAAACACAGTACATAATATTCAGCAAACGGAAACATATAAAGAACGTTAATCTAACTTTAAATTAGGTTGGGGTTAACTCTAGATTGCACCCTAAACTGGAAAAGCCATATACATAACTTGCAAAAACAATGTCAACCTAGAATTAATCTCCTGAAAATTCTCTCAAACCGTACGTGGGGAGCAGATACAAGAACCCTATTAAACTTATACCAATCACTTATAGGTAGCAAATTAGACTACGGCTCAATAAGTTATGGTACTGCTAAAAAACTACATTAAAAAAACTAAACTCAATTTAAACAACGTCACTAAGAATTGCTCTGTGCGCATTTAGAACAAGCCCAACCACTAGCCTTCAAGTATTAGCTAACGAATTACCTTTACACTTACGAAGGCAATGTCACTAAATTATGCAACTCGTATATCATCAAATCATTAAAATCCCATGCATTCAAATATCTTAAAACCTAAATGTATCAGTAATTACAAAAATAAACCTATAAATACACTTCCTTTTCATGAAAGAATCAAATTCAGTGGTTACGACTGTGAGCAGTTTAGTGCCATCATAAATCCAACCCAAAACTTTCCCTCTTGGTCAACTAGTCCACCAATTATAAATACAACCCTTACTCGCTATCCCAAAACATCCACTAACCCAACAGTAATACATCAATCATACCATGAAATAATATCCCTATATCCAAATTCTGAACATATCTACACTGATGCATCAAAAACTCAATCAGGACTAGCAGCGGCTTACATACATGGAGCAGACCATTTTAAAATACGACTCCCTCTGAGTTGTAGCATATTTACTGGAGAAGCACTGGCTATTTTAGAGGCACTGAAAGTTTGCAGAAGAAAATCCGCACCTCATTATATTATAATATCTGACTCATTAAGTACACTAAAAGCTTTACAGCAATTATATCCATCAAATGAAATTATAATGCTAATAAAAAATGAACTCATACTACTATCAACAAAAAACATAGAAATAACTTTTTTATGGTGCCTTCACATGTGTGGGAATCAAGGAAAACGAAGTAGTGGACCAACTTACGAATGAAGCTGCACTAGACGAAAGCATCCCTGTGTCACACATGCTAACAAGAAACGACTATAAAACTCCATTAAAAAGCATATTACCAACTTATGGCAGAGTACTTGGAATTCCACATCCAACAAATTAAAAGATGTTATAGAAACTGTCGGCACCACCTTACCACTCCCACTCAAACGTTGTGAACAAGTGATAATAACTCGATCACGATTAGGACATACTATACCAACCCATATTCACTGAATAAATAAAGAAGCCATCCCTTTCTGCCACAACTGCAAGATCCAAATCACTGTGACACATATTCTGTTAGTATGCAAAACATACACCCAAGAAAGAAGAAAAAATAACCTCTCTACCAACATGAAGGATCTACTAAGTTGCCAGTTCAACCAAGTGCTGAAATATTTGAAAGACATTAAATTTTACAGTATTTAATAGAACATATTTAAGTTATATATACACTGTAAGAAATTGAATACTTGTAATTTGTGTTTGTACCCCCTGCTAACAACTCTTAGTAGTTGATGCAGGGTCATTTTTGTTTAAATAAAAAAACAAGAAAATTCTAAAAAATAAAATATAGGGCGATCTATTTAAAAAAATGAGAAAGTCGTAATTTTATTTTGTAGTTCACCCTGTATACAAAGTTTTGTCATTGATTTCAATTAAACTTAATTTAAAAACTACAATATATTGTTTACTTTATTGTATAAAATTACTTCTTTATATACATGGTGTTAATTTCATAGGGATTTCGAAATAAAAATGGTCATAACTTGTTAAATACTCTGCATAGTAATGCAAAACCCAATATTATAAGAACAAGAATTATGAGAATACAAATTTGTTTAAAAAATTGTTGTAGGATTCCACATAATTTTAAAGTATGAAGAATATCATTACTTACATTATAGGAAAATTAAGAATCTTAGTAAGAGATTATTTTATTTTGTATCAAATACCAATGCCTCTAGACAATTCACAATGTTATCAATTGTTTTATTCGACGTGATAAGGTAAAAAAGTAATAAACATTTACGCATTCATGACTGTAATAATTAATTGGATTATTTTTATACTTAATTAGCTATTTTAAATATTGTTTAAGGTTGTTTCCGAGCTCAATGACGTCTATTACGAAGTGCTAAACATGGAAACATCCGGAGAATTGGATCGAAATCTTCTGAATCTGAATTTAAACCTGTCCAGTTTAATACATTCTCCAAGTATAACATCGATAGATACTCTTACGCCCAAAGAGGAATATTATTCTGGTAAGAATTATTTTAAAGTACATAACAAGGTTAGTTGGTTATATGGAAGTCTTTGATATAGTCTTTGAGAAACATATTTATAACTTCCTTATGTTTAAACCCTGGGAACTAATTTTAAGATAATTCCAGATGGCGATGAGCCTCTATTGAGCGGAACTGGTTCCGTGTCCAAGGACTGCTCTGTCGACGTATTAGAATCCTGGCGGACATTCTACAAAAATGGAAATCGACCAATTTCAAACAGAGACCAAAACAGTTGTCGGCGCTAGTAAAATTGGGCGTTCCCGAGGCACTAAGAGGAGAGGTGTGGCAGAGACTGGCTGGAATCGACGAAAACTCGAACATGATGGAAAACTATCGATGCTTATAACAAAGGTGAGCTATTTTATACCATTTCGAATACAATTAGTTGGTTAAAGCAACATTTGTTGGTTATATGAAAAATGTAGAATATTTTAAGTCCTGATCTGAAAAAACCAGGCCAGGACTTAACCTCCGAGCCGGTCCAATAAATAATACGCTTATCTGACATTATTTTGTTCGTTTTCAGGAATCCAGTTGTGAAAACGTGATTCAGCGAGACATAGCCCGAACTTTTCCGGCTCACGACTTCTTCAAAGAGGCCGGCGGGTTGGGACAAGATTCTTTGTACAGGGTGAGCAAAGCATACGCCATTTATGACTCAGAAGTGGGATATTGCCAAGGACTGAGTTTCCTGGCAGCGACTCTACTCCTACACGTAAGTATACTATTTTTTTTTCTTATAAAAATAACGTATTGTCGAAGAGTGCAGATCATTTATCCCACATTCAGCGTTTGTCCAGAAACAATTTTTTCTTTAAGGTTTGATCATCAAGATTTTTTGAAACTTATATCTGGCACGTGTAATTATGCATACTATACTCTGTTTTTTAACCAGGAGGAGTAAACCAAAAAGACAGATTCACACCCAAGAAAGTTACTAGAAAAGTCACCAAATACATCTTCTTTTTTTGTTGTATATCTCGGCCTTGCGGTAATCGAGTAATCAATATCGGACAACCTTACACGTCAATTCTAACCTAACTTTATGTTTGAATAATATTTTTTTAATTCACTTCCAATATATATTACAATTATTACAATAAAAAAGGACGTTTTTCACATTTGGTCCCATGTATATATATTTAAATATCGGGTGATCCAGTTTTATAGATCTTTTGAGTCGATGGTACTTAATTTAGAGAATATTTTGATCCAGAGAGTCAATAATGTTACAGATCTAAGTATGGTTTTTCTCAGAAATTTGTCTTTTAATTTGCAAATAGATCTTATATGCAACAAAGCTATGCAAATGCATGTATCAAAAAGTTAGAGAGAGTTCAAAGATTTCTGAAATACTGTTCTTTTAAACTGCGTAGACCATATTCTTATTCTGGTGTGATTAATTTCTTGAATCTAGGTTTTTTTTCTTACCAGAAGAATTAACTTTGACTTTGATCATTATTTTTAAGCTTAATAATCCAATCTCCTGAATTGCTTCAGCCAGTTTGTTTTACATATTCCTTCCCATTCACTGCTTTAGAATTGACTTTTTCATGTTTCATATCACAGAATAAATTATGGTTCAAATATAGGTGTGGTCCTACTTTTCATGCATGGTAATCAGTTACCTCATTAGATAGATTTAACTTATGTATCAATATCTTAAGGATCTATTTGAAGCACTAAAATGCAAAACAATAAATTTGTATAAATAAGTGTGTACTTGCAATTTCTTTAATGCTGGATTCTTGTTTAATTTTGACAGTGAGTTTGTCCCATTTGTTATCAATAAATAAAATTTACTAAAAAATACTGGATTTCTGTGAGATAATCAACTAATTCAATCTATTATGTTACATTCTAGTATAATTTTGTAGTTTTCTTGTGATGATCTACAACAGGAAGAACAAAACCAACTGTATCAATACAATCAAAGTAAAACACAACATTACTAATGTTCTTTTATTGTGATGAAAACAAAATGAAAATGCTTCTTAACAAGTATACACAAATTTAAAAGATAGTTGCCGTTTTTCTTATGATAATTAGATATAAATATCATACATTTATAAATTTATAAACACTGTAAACTCTATTTATTATATATATCAGCTAGAAAAATATCACATTAAATACTATTATCGCATATCACCAAGTCCAAGTTATTACAAAAACAACTTAAAGAGTCAGAAATCGATTTATATAATATTCTGTGCATAATATATATTCGGAATGAATGTAAAAATAAAAATTTAATAATTTTATTAGTCTTCCAAAATCTCTCCATTTATGTCTTGGTGAGATTAATGAACAACTACACCATTTTGAATTTCTTGATTTATTTTTTCAGCAAAAACTGAATCTATTTCAGATATTTGAGCAAGAAAGTTTTGTTTTTGGTCAGCAGCCCAATGTATAAACTATTCTTTGAATAATTTCCCCTAAAAAATAACTATGGTAAGACATTCATAATATAGACAATAAATCAATCATCCTATAAACAGTAAGATAAACAATCTATAGTTATGCTATGTAATATTTGCTGCATTGAATCTGCATATGTAAAGTAAAAATATCCTTTTTTTTCCTTTTCTTCCCTTTCCATGTTCTTATATCTGTTGAACCAAAATACTTGACAACATTCCAGTAGAGTATACAAATAAAAACTTAAAACTTAATATTTAATAGTAACAATAATATACCTGATTATAAAAATGAAATCTATAAAATGTTTTAGTTAATTTTACTATATAATTGTAGCTAACCCATATTTACATACCGATATTTGTACTTACTTCAAATTGATTTGCTTCAAGAATTTATATAATAATGAACGACACATATTTTGGAAGATCTGAGCGGTTGTTAATTTCACTTAAAATTTTACCTAAAGTGAGCATTTCATTCTTGAAAAAGAAGCTGTGTACTATCTGTCGTATAGATGTTTTAACTCTTTCATCCTATGTTGCAAGAATATAAGGTCGACCTTCAATATTTTTAGGACATTTTACTGCTCCAGTCTGCTTATATTCTTTAATTGTTCTAAATTCTATTGTTGTAAATAGTTGAATTCGCAACACCTAAAATTAGCACATTACTTTAGTAAGTCTTGATTTTAATAATAACTATTCTGTAAAACTAACCTGCTGCCTGTTTTATTTTTACTACCGTGGCTGTTATTTTTATTCCAGAATTATCAATTTTCATGTTTGTACATGTTTATAGTACATTATTTCTCATTTGATGATAAATGATCCAAATCTACTCGGCGTTTTTAAGGTGGAGAAGAATAATTACCACTAGTACTTGGCATTGAATCCATATTGTTATCTTAATAACACTAATATGTCGCTAAATAGTTCTGAAAAGAACTGTTTTTTATATAAATGCAAACGAAAAATCTAAAGATGTAAGAAATAACACAGAAAATACAAAAAATTGTCGATATAAATTTTGAATTTTAAAATTTCACAAATGTCATTAGTGTCAATATGTCATAATTTAGTGGAGTAAACTTGCCTGCGCTTCGACCAATTACAAACAAGCATTATGGCGCGGAAAATTTGAATTACTCCTCCTGGTTTAAAAACAGACCATAGTAAATAGTTCTTATATTGTTTTTTTTTCTTATTTGCAGATGCCGGAAGAACAAGCCTTTTGTATATTGGTGAAACTCATGTACGACTACCATTTGAGAGACTTGTACAAACACGGTTTTGACAATCTATATTTACGTTTATACCAATTAAATAGACTAATGGAAGAACACCTGACATCACTGTCTTTACATTTTACTGAGCACCACGTCGAGACACACATGTTCGCCTCACAGTGGTTTCTGACTCTGTTCACTGCCAGATTTCCCTTGTATTTCGTGTTCCACATTATAGACATTTTTCTTTTGCAAGGTATTGATACCTTATTTCAAGTTGCCATAGCTCTTTTAATGGTAAGTATAAATATACAATTACATTTTAAGTAGTTTAAAACTTAACACCCTATAAAACTTTTTATGTATGAGAGAAAAAACTAATGTTAAAACTGTACGTATATTTCAGCAAAATATTAATTAAATCCCAAGTATAAAAAACATTTTAAACTTACTATCCCATTGACAATTTTCTTACCTACGACTATGTTTATTTAAACAAACGTACCTTTGAAATGACAGTTCAGACACCATCTAGATCTAACATGGCGGCTGTCAGATGAAGCCTGTCAATACCTGGTCAATTCAATGACTTTTAGGTCTTCTTTTCTCCTGTCACATCGTGTGCCTGAGTGTATATCCATACGTTCTTTTTTCTATTTTAGATGTGCAAAAAAGACCTCCTACAGTTAGATTTTGAAGGTATATTAAAGTACTTCAGAGTCTCTCTACCGAAAAAGTGCAGATCCGAAGAAGCTGCCAAACAACTTATTAAACTAGCCTGCAGTATTAAAGTGAAGAAACTGAAGAGATACGAAGCCGATTTCATAGCTCTCAAAGGTAAGTCGATAATGAAAGAACTAAATCAATATATCTCCTCTAATTTTTTTTATTTGTCATTGTCAGTCTTTTAAATGATACAGTCATATATTTTTAAAGGAAGTAGCTATTTAATTATCGTTAGGAAAAAACAGGGACACTGTTATGGCAACATTGTACGGTGTACACTTCCCTGTCAGTAGTTCAAATGTCTCTCAACTATAAAATACGTTTATTTATACTAAAGATCAAAATTAGCTGAGATTTATCGTGATATAAGTGATATTTACGGAGAAAAAACATTGCGAGTGATGTAAATAAGAAACTGCAAATTTTGGACGGTATTCGTTTCGTTGTGAGTAGTTCAAATATAGTCTATAAACTGTAAAATAATTTTTCTTTGTCCGAAAGAATGAAAATATCTGATATTTATTGTGATGTTTATGAAGAAGACATTATCAGTAATTAGAATAAGTACTTCACAATAAGATACTTTCACTTATAAGCATACATTTGTGTCTCATGGTAATACAAGAAATTATGCACTTAGTTTTATATTTTACATAAAAGGTAATAATTAACACTTCACCTAATAATGCCTAAACATAAATAAAACAATAACTTGCAAGCAAAATTCGACCTTAGTCAACGAAGTAATCTTCTTTTAGTTAATACACCCCCATTTTCTCATTAATTAGCTTATTTGATCAAAATGTCTTTCCCTTGACCATTCTTTTGGGGTATACAGTCAGTATTTCTGTGTTACATTTTCTGTAAGTAGTTCATATGTATCTCAACTGTAAAATACGTTATTTTTGTGTTCAGGAGAGAAAGTAGCTGATATTTATCGTGATATCAGTGATTTTGTGAAAAAAAAAACACATTACGAATGGTAAGAATGAAAACGTTCGCACAACAAACTTTTACCCACAAGGCGTATTTTTGTCTCGTTGTAATAAATTGTAATTCTGTTCTGTAAACTTTTGTTTACATGAAGTGAACTTCATGTACTTCTGTCATCGTTGTAATTGCTTGAAACACTGGACTGTGTGTGTTTCTCTGTGTGGGTAGTTCAAATGTCTCTTAATTATAAAATAAGTTTTCTTTGTGTTAAAGTGAATCTGACAGATATTTATCTTGATAGATGTTAATGTCATGGAGAAAACATTACGAACGATAAAAGTAAAACCATGAATAATAAAACAATTCGACATTACGTAAATATTACACGGTGTTTTAGTTTCTCTGCGAGTAGTTCAAATGTCTCTCAACTGTAAAGCGAGAAAGTAGCTGATATTTATCGTGATATCAGTTACTTTAATGGAGTAATGAGAATAAGAACATAATAACTTTCGCTCATAAGGATTTTTTATTTCTTTGGAATAATTAGAATAAGAACATAACATAAGAACATAATGACTTTCGCTCATAAGGATGTTTTTGTCTGTTGTGATACAAGAAATTCTGTTCTGCAAACTTTTGAGTACATGAGGTGTATTTTTATCATCTTTGAGATTGCTTGAAATACTGGACCGTGTTTATGTTTCTCGGTGAGTATTTCAAATGTCTCTCAACTATAAAATACGTTTTCATTATGTTAAAGTGAATATGGCTGATATTTATCGTGATATATCACTTTCAACGTTACGTAAACAGTGTACGGTGTTTTAGTTTCTCTGTGAGTAGTTCAAATGTCTCTCAACTGTAAAGTGAGAATAAGTACATGAATCAGAAACGATACTAATGAACCCTTCACTCAATAAGACCTAGACGTAGCTAATAATACAACTTGCAAGCAAAATTCAAAACATAGTGCAATATACCAGTACCAACATTCTCTAATAATCCGATACCTTTTTTTATAGAAAGATTTGTCTACGAACTTAAAATACGCATCCCTTTCCGCAATAACCTCTCTCGATTGATCCAGATTTATTTTTGTTGACAATTCTTTTGAGATTTGCAAACAATCAGTAGTTGTTGATGGCCAGATGTGAAGAATTCGACGAATGTCGAAGCAATTTGAAGTGCATTCGGTGAGATTTAATAAAGGGGACATTTCTTCTCCTTTAGTGGCATTTTTAAAAAAGTTTCTTCCTTCAAACACACCAACAACACTACATTCGTTATTCCTCAAAAGTAATTCATAAACAAAATAGATAGACAAGATATTTTTTAGCAGAACAGGCATTTTTACACTAAATTGTTAATAATTATAAAAAGACGCCGATCTCTGCAGAAAACATATAGATTTTCTTTATGTAGGCCTGTAATAACTAAAAAAATTGTCATTTGTTTGGTTTTGTTACGGTCTTAAACAGAGTTTTTCCTTGTACTAGATGGCTCTCTGAAAAGATCTGATCACATGTATGTGGAAGTAGGGTCGTAAAGCTAGTTATAAGGTACGATAAGTGTGTGAATGTTGGTAGAAATAAATACACTTCTGGGTTGTTTATTTCAAAAGATACCCATGTAAAAAAAACGTGGTAGTAAAACGGTCATAAAACTGAAAACAATCGTTCGTTACATAAAATCGATAAAATATAATTGCAATTGATTTATTTCTTTGATAAAGTTAGTAGTAGTTGTAGTTTGACGCTGGCATGCGCATCTTTTGGAATGTTTCTTGGCTGCATAACTAATCGCAACAAATACGGTATGTAACAAATATGTATAAACCATGGAGTATAAATAAAGAATATCATAGTAAATATTTATTAGTATAAAAATAGCTTTTTTGAATACAGAAACAAACAAATTTTTATGAATACATAGATATATGTTGCTTCTTCTTCTTCTTTAAGTGCCACTCCGCTTCATTATGAACATTATCGCTGCGTTTTTTTGCTCCAGTCTCACGTTATATTTATTACCATACCATACCAGTAATCATACCATCCATAAGGTTCCAAAATTTCTACCAATCTACCTTTTTTCTATCTACACCATTTCCAGTTCGTTTCAAGTAGCCTAAACAACTCCAGGTTCAATATGGTCCGCAATTTCTTAACTCGGCACTGGTTTTCTTTTTATCTAACAGCATTCTTAATGTTCATAACAAGCTCTGACTCAGTGATCCCTAGATCTATATTTCGGACGAATACCACCTCCACTACTTTGGCTTTAATCTTCTCTATCAGCCCTCTGCCTTCTCCCTAGATACAAGTTTGATGAGGGTTTTTGCTCAAAAACCTAATCTTGCCGATTATCTCTACACTGAGACTGACTTGTAGGAAGCCTAGCATCTCTGCCTAGGAAGTTTATATTGAATCTCTCACAGCAGAACACAATCTCAATCTTGCTCCCTTACCATATACGCTCAAACATCTTTCAAACTTTTCATCCATTTAAAACCTCATTTTTCATGTTACTCCTGACAGCATTCTCCTCACAAAAGGATACTGTTTTAGCGTTCTCCTGCATATATGCACCAGTAGGATCACTATCTTCAGCCAGTTCCCATAGCTTCTCAAAGACAGTATCGAGCTAGATCTTTACTGTTACCATTTCTAATCCGAATCAGTTCGTAACCTGCTTTACCACTTCCCGTATGGGTGCCCATCTCCTTCAACGGCATTCTCCGGTTAGCTCCTATATCTCTGCTTCCATTTGATCTGTTCTTGCCCTATTTCCCTGCTTCCGTCACTTTCTATCTTATTATCTTACTTTCATCTTACGGAAGTAAGATTTCCAACTTTGAGAAAGAGTTGTGGAATCAAAAAACTCCCCTTAGTCGTTCTTTAAGAACCATTTTGGGACTGCAGTAATCTTCATCTCGCTCCTCAAGCTGCTCGCGCAACTGCTTCACGGTAAGATGTTTTAGCAGATCGCAGTCTTAAATGGTCTCATAAATAAGGCTCTCCGATTTTTCAAAAATGGTTTATAGTCCCGATTACTCTTCAAAAGTCCATTGTCTCTTCTATTAAAGACTGTGACACTTTACTTTTAGTTCACAAAGCAGGTGATCCATCGAGGCACTTATGTACAATTAACATAAGAATTCGTTTTGACAAACCTAGTAATCTAACTGATTGTCATTTTTAGCAATCAAATTTTACGTTGGGAAAAAAAGTGTGTTATGGTTATCGTAAACATCAGCTCGTCGTTCTCCCATAAAAGCTGATACTGAATTGTAGTGACACGTTGAAATAAACCCACAGACACAGATCATCTAAAGAATACAATATTATCTTAGATAAATTATCCAAATTTATCTTGAAACTCTTTTTCTTCTAATGTTAACCTTGATAAGTGTTGTCCTACTACGCTTCATATTGCTATAAATCATTTTTATACCTTTTTTTTTCAATTCAGACGTGACCTATTTGATGTAATATTTTTTTTGTAATAATCATATTTCGTTTAAAAAAACTTGAAATATTAATTTAAAAAGATTGACATGACAAATAAAATTTTGCTTTGGCTTAAGTAAAGCATATTAAGGCTTTTATGACGAACTTACCAAGGAAATAAAAATTTGCAATATGCATGTGATCATTAGTATCATATCCCTAGTTTTTAGATAAGAATGAAATCAATTTCATAAGTAATAGTAACATAAAAATTATTTATGGATAAATCGCGACTTCACGATATTTTTGACACTCTTTTCCACCTTTTCGGTGCCAAAATGATGCCAAAAAAAATATATTCGTTAAACCCAAGGTACCTGGTAAAACGCTTGCATTCGATCAAAATATTTTCTAGTGCAAAATAAACAGCGACATGTCGATTTGCTAAAATTTGAGGTGTATTTGGTACATTTCTGTATATTATTAATTACAGCTGAATTGGTCTGCATCAATAAATACAATTATTGTGGTAAGCTCCTTATTTTTCTCTTAAAAAGAACCAACGCACCCAAGGAGATGAAAAACAAATTAAAATGTAGGAAAAGCCTAATTCCTATGCAACCCTCTATGATGACTAAAGCGCAATCATTAATGAAACACTGTACATGTAAGTAAACATTGATCATTTTGCCTACAGTTTGTCAAAAAAAAAAAATTGAAATTGCTCTAAAAATAAAATAAAAAACACACCTCAAATTAGAGATTAGAGACTACTGTTAGTCTTGCTAAAGATATAAAAAGGAGCTACTACTCTTGTTAACCGGTTAGTACAGTCTGTTGTGAAAATATTTCGGACAAAGACAACCAAAATGTTCTGCTCGCTTTGCAAAAATATATTAAGAGTCTCAGAAACTGAATTCAGTGTCATCACATGTGTTTTACCTGAATAGTACCCATTTAGATAGGATGTCTGTAGAGCTAAAAAAGTTGCCCGAAACGGATAATACACGTCTAGATCTAATGCTTCATTATATGAACTTCTTTTATCATATTAGCATAGAACTACTTTTTTTTTTCATTGAATATAATTGCAAATTTTTATTTCTGCCACGCTTGGCGCACAATTAAGAGCCTTTAATGTGCTATACTTCCATAGACAGCTGGGAAATTATCAATTTGGATTCAGAGGCTGCCGATCAAGCGGAGAAAGAGGCGAGCGAAGTCGAACAGCTCCGACTGGCCGTCGTGCGATACGAAGACGAACGAAAGATGATGATGGACGAGATAAGTCAACTGAAAGAGATGTTGAAGAGAGAGGTGAATCAGGCGGAGAGCGATAAAAGCAGTAACGTGGCCATTATTAACGACTACAAGTTGATAAGGCAACGGCTGGATACGCAGTTGCACGAAGTAAAAGCTGAGCTGGATAGCCTAAAGGTACGTAAGAGATTTTGTGTTTAATATATTTACAAACCGAGAAAAAGTACGAGAAATTCATGTTCTGACGGCATATTTATTGGTCGAGTCTGCGGGCAAGGGTCTGAATATGTTTAAAAACTGACAACCTTATGCAGGATACTACATATACATACACAATAATTTTCCAGATCAGTAATAGCTTTCCTACTATAACACTAGAACAGTAGGAACTTTGTTATTTCTCTGAAAAATTGAGATAATCTTCTTTGCATACAGTAGGTGATGTTTGGTATTTTTTATATATTCAGGGATTCTACAGTATTCACTGCCTTCCCTCGCTCAACCGTTTCCATCTCTCTCTTTTGTCCCATTCTCCATCGTTTAGACTCATGGCGTCGTCTACTTCGTTCCTCCAGGATCTTCGGGGTCGTCTTCTTTTCCTTCTTCCAATGGGGCCCCATTCGGTCATTCTCTGACCATCTGCTGTCGCTAGTTCTTCTTACATGTTCATACCACTTTAGTATTTTTTGTTCTATATATGTTAGTATGTCTGTTTCTATTGATGTTCTTTGCTTTATTTCGTCATTACTTCTCCTATCCATTCTTGCTACTCTGCAGCATCTTCGCAGGCATTCCATCTCTGTTGCTACTATCTTACTGCTGTTTTTCTTGTTTATAATCCAATTTTCAGCCCCATATGTCATAATACTTCGCACTAATGTTATAAATCTGTGTTTTTGTCTTCATATTTAGGTGTCTATCCCACCATACTGAGTTAAGTTGGATTGCTGTTCTTGTTTGTCCTAATCTTTGCTTAATTTCTTCCTCTTTTGTTGCTTTTTTCGTAATTATAAACCCCAATTATTTATCCTTTTCTTTGATTGTTACGTTGTAGTAAATCTGTAGATCTTCTATGTCTTCCTCAACTTTTAGATAGGTGCTCTATTTTCGCGAGGTTAATATCTAGGCCAGCCTTGGTATATTCTTCTTGTAGTTTCTTCATCATGTAACTGAGGTCTTCTTGGTCTTATGCAATCACTACTTGATTCTCTGCAAAGCTTAGCGTATATAGGTATTCGTCTCGTACGATACTCCCATGCCTTTGCATTTTCTTTTCCATGTAGTCAAGGCTTTCTCTAAGTATATTTTGAATAGGGTTGGAGATGTGAAACAACCCTGCACGAGCCCTTTTGTTGTGGTGAAGTCTCCCATGATTCTTGATCCCATTTTAATGGACACTTTATTTTCTTTATACGGAGCTTTTGTAGCTTTTATGAGTTCCGTCTGTATTTCTAATTTGTACATTGCCTCTTATAGTTCTGACCTTGGTACAGAGTCATACACCTTTCTCAGGTCCACAAATGCCAAATGTTTAACCTCTATTTTTTGCTTTTTTCTTTTCCACAGTTGTTCCAGTGTGTATATGTGGTCTATGCATGATCTTCCTGCCGTGAAGCCTGCCTGATCCTCCCCGATTTTGCCTTTTATCGCTTGCTCTATCTTTTCTCGCAGTATCTTCCCATATAATCTTCCTATTGATGATATTACGCTTATTCCTCTGTAGTTTTCGCATCGTTTTTCTATCTCCTTTCTTAAATATAGATGTCATATATGCCTCCGTCCATTCCTTTGGGAGCTGTTCTCCATTTATGGCTTTCTGAAATATCCATTTTATCATCGGGTTTAATTTTTTTGAGCCGTACTCTTTGAGCTCAGGTGAGATGCCTCCAGGTCCCGATGCGTTTTTCTTGTTATGGGGATCTGCTTCGTTTTCGCCTGTTTTCTTTTCCAATGAATTGTGGTCTTTGTTCTGTTAACAGTTCCTTGTAATAGCCCTTCTCTTCTTTGTCCTGTATATTTCCCAATTTATTTTTTTCTTTTGAGTTTTGTTTCAGTCCTGTCAGTATTTAACCAGGCTCTTTCCCATTCTTCATTCTTTTGTTGTGTTATTTGTTTTTTTCACTTCTCTATCTTTTTCTTTATAAACTTCATCGTTGTTTGTAGTCAGCCATTTTCTGTATAGTTGCTTTTTTTCTTCAATTATTCTTTTTGTTGGTTCATTTATTTCATAATAGTGCTGTTTATTTGTTATATATGTTCTTTCTCTCCAAGGGCTTCGAATACTGCTTGCTTTATAGTTGCCTTTATATGCTCGTATATTTCTTCGAAGTTGCCGTATCTGAATTCTATTAATTTTTGGTTTAGACGTTGTTTGTATAGCTTTCTTATTGATTGTTCTTGCTTGGAGTAGATTTATATTGTATTGTTTTTCTCTTATAGTGTTCAACGGTTTTTTCTGTAGAGGGTTTCTTGTTATGTTTCCAACTAATGCCCATTTTTGTTGTCAGTAGTTTATGGTCAGTTCCACATTCTACTCTTTTGACTCTCACATCCTTTATCTTGAGTATAGTATCTTGTTTGGCTATTAAGTAGTCTATCTTGTTTTTGTTCATCCTCTCCAAATCTACTCACTATTTTATCGTTTTCTTTCCTTCCGGTTATGCCGTTAAGGTCTCCTGTTACAATTATCTCCACGTTCTTCTTGATTAGCTCTATTTGGTGTTGAAGTTGTACCGTGAAATTTTCTTTTTCTACTCTCGGGGAATCGTCTGTTGATGCATATACTCCGGAGTATCACTGTCTCTTTCCGTCTATGTCTATATACATTTTAATTGTTTGGTATTTATTTTCGCAAAATGTATGTCAACATAGGCAAACAGTATTTTGTTCATAGTAGTGCCATCTGCGAAGTATAATAAGAACTATTCAATTTGTCTCAACTATTCCCTCGCAATTTTCTAAACAAAAACGAAATTGGATACATCTGAATCAAATAATATTGATATATCGATTTGTTATTTTTAGACTAAGGTATCGAATTGTGAAAGTTGTTCAGAGCATTTAGAAAAATCGAGTATAGATAAGACGACTAGTAGTAACGAAAACGCCAGTGAAGAAGAGAGGATACGAGAGTTAGAATTAGAATTAGCCCAGGCGAAATTGGCTCATGTTGAAGCTGAATGTCGTAATCAGGTAATATATGTTGTAATTTATTAAATAAACTGAGATTTGTATTGTATTATACAAGTTTGATGTCACACGAAGAGATACTGTTTATAAATATTTACAAAATAAAGTCGACTCGCGTTAATTCAAACCTGCGATAATTCGAACCTCTATAATTCAAAGTTATCTAGAGTTCGTACAAAAATCTCTTTATATTTCGAACGAAGTGAATATATTTTTATGCACTTGGTAATTCGAGCAAAAAAAATCATTGCATAATAACAAAACGACCCGCTATTCGAACTCATCGGCGTTCCAACACTCGACAATTCAAAGTTGCAGAGAGAAAGAGGCGGAAAGATTGTATGTATCAACTCGTTTGTATTGATAAGCCTAATTGCATGTTTTTTTTTTGAGCGATTAGTTAATTAGCAAATTAATAATTTCTTCAAAAACTGGGCCAGCTTCCATGGCTTAGGCCTACCTAATATGTATTTTTGGAAGAAAATACATAAAACATAACTAAATTTAACAAATAATTAAATTTTCGTCTACCTTTGACTACAAGGGTACCGATAACAAATACAGTTCTCACATCAGATCCTCACAGTTCACAACTTTTTAAGATTCACCAAATATTCAGCATAATTCTGCTTCAACTTCCTCATATGCAACTGCAATCAAATCAACTTCTCGATCAACCTTTCCAAAGAGGGATCAAGCCATAGTATTGCATGCCAATGAAAATCTAAAATTGTTCGATTACGACAAGGCAGTAGATGACGCTAAATACATAAC